TAATATTGACTATAGCGTTTGATATATGTGATAAATCATGTATATTTTGCGTTTAATTTGAATTTCTAAAACATATATTTCGATCAATTGTATGATTAGGATTTACTGTTTTTTTGTTGCTTCTGTAAATTAACATATTAAAAAGATTATATAAATTTATAATCATGTACAAGTAGAGAAACACAAACACTAACCAAAAATTTCCCTAACCAAAATTTATATTACGACAAGAAATACAAGTAGAGTTCCCTAACCAAAATTTCTATTACGACAACAAAACTCGGGAATGAAGTTCAAAGGCAGTGACACTTTAAAAACCTTGAATCCACAACGCTTCCTTCTTCCTCTGGCGTTCTCGAACTTCCTTCCAATGGAGCAAACATATGGTGTTGTGTGATTGTGTGGCACACCAAGAGCAGGACCAAAATGCTTGACAGCTTCAAGTGAATTCTTCGACGAAGAATTAACAGAATGTTCTATGAACTTCCCTAGCACCACTCCACTGTCCTGCATCACCAACCCGATTACTCCATGTGTGTTCCTCATATATACATCAAATAGTTAAATAATGCAAACAAGTGTCTTTCACGATGATCAATGACAGAAGAATCGAATTCATCAATTTCTTCACTGTTATGTTAAAGCCACAAACACACAAAATTGAATATATTAGGAATCATCTTCTAATAACATACATGCATCCCTACGAAGCTCAATATGGATTCGAAAAACCATAAAATCAGATTTTTAACTTCATTTGACTGAAATAGAAAAGGAAGGCTACGGAGCTACCAATAAAAGGTGACTGAAGAATATAGAGCGACTCGAGGAAGATTCAACCTCTTACAATATTCGATCGGCGGAACTGGAGAAGAAGAACGAGTCGAGGAAGACGCAGACCGGATAGAAGTAGAGGAAGATTCAACCTCTTACAAGATTTGATCGGCGGATCTGGCCGCGGAGGAGCTGGAAAAGAAGAACGAGCCGAGGAAGACGCAGATCGGATGGAAGGAGAGGAAGAAGACGGTGGAAAGTAGAGAGAAAGCAATCACGTGGAGGAGGAAGAAGAGAGTGTGTTTTTGCTCGATCTCGTAAATAGATCTGAGCTCAATCTCTCGTCTTCCCCAGTAGATCGAAAACTTGAGATCGATTGAT